CTCGCTCTTCGTTCGTGCTGGCCAGACTCCGTTCTACATCCTTGTCTACGTAGACGACCTGGTCTTCGCTACTGCAGACAGAGACGCACTAGTCTCTGTGAAGGCCGAGCTGCTGAGGAGACACACCTGCGCTGACCTAGGAGAGCTGCGCCGCTACCTTGGTCTGCAGATCTCCAGGGACAGAGCAGCGTGCACCATCACTCTCTCACAGTCACACTTGGTGCGCCAAGTCCTTCAGAGGTTCGGTCTTCAACTCTCCTCCGCACAGCCCACACCTCAGCCAGTAGACCACAGGCTCTCTGCTCCAGTTCCAGAGGAGTCAATAAAGCCCATTGGTCCTTACGCAGAGCTGGTGGGTTGCCTCATGTACCTAATGACTTGCACTCGTCCAGATCTCGCATACCCTCTCAGCATCATGGCTCGCTTTGTGGCCACAGGCAGACACCGACCACAGCACTGGTCGCCCGCTAAGAGAGTTTTGCGTTATCTAGCAAGTACAACGGGCACGGGGTTAGTGCTGGGAGGACGTAGGCCAGTGGTCCTTACTGGGCACACAGACGCATCTTGGGCAGACGACGCTGAGACCCTCAGGTCCTCTCAGGGCTACTGCTTTAGCGTTGGTTCAGGTGCCATCTCATGGAGGTCCACTCGCTCCTCGTCTGTTGCCCAGTCTAGCTGTGAGTCTGAGATCTACGCCGGTGCCATGGCGGCACAGGAGCTCTGCTGGCTGGCCTTCTTGCTCACCGACTTAGGTGAGCGGCCTAGCTCTGCCCCGGTTCTGAACGCTGACAACAGGACCATGATCCTCCTTTGTCAAGAGCCTCGACTTGAGGGCAGAGCGAAGCACATCCAGCTGCGGTACTTCCTCCTGCGCGAGCTACAACAGCGTCGCCAGGCCTGCGTAGTACACTTGGCCTCTGGTGCCAACATAGCTGATATCTTTACTAAAGCGCTTGCGCCTAAGGATCATCAGCGGCACTGTTTGTAGCTTGGTCTAGTTCCTGTAGATTCTCACTTGCTAGGACCTTGATTGTGTACTCCTCTTTATATATACCTTTCAGACTGGCCTTGTGGCTTCTCTTCCAGTGGCCGGACTAGTAGTGCCGCCCTGTTTTGCTCCTGTCTTGTTTATACTCTTGCTGACTGGTTTTCGGACCCCTGTCTCAGAGTTTGGACTAGTAGTGCCACCCTAAGCTGCGTGTTTCTTGCTCAGCACTGTAATAATTTGACAGGTGTTGCAGGGGACTACAGTAAGTGTAGAATCTGCAAACACAGACACTTGGAAAACCTCAAGTGTTAGCCTAGGATCTTTACTGGAATGGTAGACTAGTAAGGCAGCGGAAGTCTTTGTAAGAATGAACCTGAGTATATAATTCAGTTGAAGTCAAGTTTAAAGTCTCAAAGTTGAAATCTCAAGGTTAACAATAGAAAGGCATAACAAGATTTTATAGCTCTAGGAAAGTACTTGTTCGCTAATGTACCTGTTCGTCACTATCGCACTATTTGCCCTAAATGATAATGAAGAGACGCAACTATTCGCGCGACTGAAACGACTGTCCTCATGACGAGTGCTATTTGCTGACGTCATCCTACGGACTTATATTCTACTGTAGGATTCGACACTATCTACCGATAATCGACTTACAGAAATGCTAAGTATGCATTATATCACAACACTCCCCTTCATTTCTGGAAGTTCGACAGTGTCACTTCTTGAAGATCCCGCAAAGCTTGTTACAGTACTGAAACTTCTGTCGTGTCAGCTTCTTCGTGAGGAAGTCGGCAGCCATTTCGTTGGTCGAACAATAGACCAATCGCATTCTCCCCTTCTCGACTTCATCCTTGACGAAAAAATAACGTAGTGAAATATGTTTCGTCCTGTTCACGAAGCCAGGTTGATGCGCGATGCGAATTGCACTCTGGTTGTCACACTGTAAAGTGATATGAGTACTTGTCGTCAACTTTGCTTCTTCCAAGAGCTCCTGCAGGTAAAGTCCTTCGCGTTTTGCTGTGCAGACAGCGATAAATTCAGCTTCAGCAGAGGAGAGAGCAATCCGCTCCTGCTTCATCGAATTCCAAGAAATAGGGCCGATAGGTTCAAGGCGGTAGATGAATCCAGCACGCGAGCGCCGATTAGTAGTATCAGCAGCGTGGTCGGCGCCGACGAAACGGTGTAGGTATAGAGTTTTACAGCCGACGACGTTGTAGACTAAGCCGACGTCAGGAGTCGAGACGAAATACTGAAGCGCGCGAAGAAGATCGAGTTGGTGTTCTTCTTCAGGACGGCGTAGGAACTGTGCGAGTTGACTAGCCGCGTACGCTAGATCTGGACGACAAGTAACAGCGGTGAAGAGTAGACAGCCTAACTGCTGTTGATCGGTCTGTAGGTCGGTTAGACTCAACGGTGTAGTATTCGGTTTGTAGTCTGTCGGTAGTGATCGGTACGGTGTAGTGACTGTAGAAGGAGTGAGGTTGAAGCGGGCAGCGAGCGTCGCTGCGTACTTCGAAGCGGTGAGGTGAATAGACGTCGGTGAGTAGGTAATATTTAAACCGAGAAACTGTGAGACTGTCTCGGAGACGGTAAGCTGTAGATTTTTCTGTAGTTTCAGTATGAAGGTATTGGCGAGCGAGTCGGTAGTACTGACGTAGAGAATATCGTCGACGTAGGCGACAAGTAAAATATAGTTGCTCCTGTCAGTTAAAAGATACATCCCCTGGTCATGCGGTAGTTGACGGAATCCAGCAGTGAGTAGCTGTGAATGTACTGTAGGTACTGCGCATAGCCGGGGTGCCTGTTTAATGCCGTATAGCGAATTTCGGAGACGGCATACGCTCGGTGGGTTAGTAGTATACGAATGTGGGTACTCTACCAGAATGAGTGTGTCGACGGGTGCGTAGAGAAATGCGTTTGCCACGTCGATTTGTCGAAGTCGTAGATTGCGGCAGGCGGCGACACAGAGTAAAATCCGAACGCTCGTATGTCGACCGACGGGAGCAAAAGTTAACTCGTAGTCGATGCCGTAAGTCTGCTCGAACCCGCGGATGACCCATCACGCCTTGAATTTCTCAAACGACCCATCTGCATTAGTCTTGACACGGAAGACCCACTTCCCGGCAAGTACCTTCCTCCCTTTTACTTCTGATGTCGGTACTAACTCCCATGTGCCGCGAGTCTTGAGAGCTGCTAGCTCTCTGTCCATGGCTTTGCGCCATTTTTCGCGGTAAGGACTCGTAAGAGCTTGTCGAACGGTTTTCGGTTAAGATATTTTACTGTCGTTGTACTGTACTGCGACTGCGAATCCAAGTATCTGTAAGCCAGTTTCTGTAAAACGCGGACGTTCTTCGTTTGCACCTGCGAAATTTTCTTCTGACCCTTCTCCCCCCCCCAATTTCGTTAGGTGTAACACGAACTGCTTCGTCGGAGACGGGTGGCATCGGCTGCTGTTGGCGATCGCGTTCGTAGCTGAGGTGGACTTCGGGAACGTCATCCGGGTCAACATCAGCGAGGGGAATAAATTACGGGATGCCTGTTGACGTGACAGGTTCGGGAATGTCAGTTGCGGTAGCTTCGGAAGCTTCAGAAACCGCCTCGTCCTGTACATCAGCTTCGGCTTCGTCAGTTGCAAATGCACGCGAGCCTTCGAACAGCCTGGCAGGGTTTGCAGCTGCTGCCTGGTGGGCACGAAAAACTGGCAAGGTGAGTCTTTCATAGAAGAGATGATCACGTGAAGGGACAATTTGGTTTGAACGAAGATCCAAAATCTTCCATGCATGATACTATTTTTCGATGCCGAGGTGTACCCCCCATTTTGCCCGTTCGGAAAATTTGCCGAGTGCTGCAGTTGGAGGACGAAACTGCACGACACACCCAAAAACTCGTAAAAGTTTTGTACTTCCCACTGTTCGTGTCCACTGCAGGTGAGGTGAAGAAAACTCGGGCAGTGATGTGGAAGACAGCAGGTTGTGTAACAGCACCGCGTGGTCCATCGCATACGGCCAAAAGCGAGGAGGAAGGGCTGCCTGCGTCAGCAGAGCACGCATCTTCTCCTGCAGAGTCCGATTCATCCTTTCTGCTACCCCCATCTGTTGGTGTGCATGTGGCAGTGACTGCTTCCGTTTGATGCCGAGTGTCTGGAGGTAGTCTGTGAAAGCGTTGCTCGTGTACTCCCCTGCGCCATCACTCTGGAATTCTTGCAGTTTTGCTCAAGACTCTCTTTCAGCGACGGCGAGCCATGCGACGAAGACTGAATGGGCGAGATGTCGAGCAGGAAGGTTTGCTGTCCAAACATATCGAGTAGATGCTTCGATGAAGGTAATCACGTACAGCTCTTCTTTAGGTCCTGCTTCAGGTAAGTTAAGAATATCGCTGTAGACCTTCTGCATCAGTTTGTAACGAGTGGAGCCAGGAAAATGACTCGAAAACGGGTCGTGGGTAAGATTGGTGACCGGACACGTGGTGCAGACCGTTGGGCGAGACTGCGGTTTCATCTCCGTGCCGTCAGGTAAGAGAAGACTGTTTTTATCAAGAACTGCTGCTCGGATTCAATGATTTAAAATCCCTTGCGATGGATGTCCTAACCGTTGGTGCCAAATTTCTTATGTGGCTTTGTGTCCTGATGATCGCAGATAAAAGTCGGCGTTAGTATAAAATGAAGAAATGATGAAAGGAGAAAGAGCTGGAGACATGTCAATCTCCCCTTCGACGAAACGGGTAAGGGGTAACTGAACATTTGAAGTGTCTGCTGTATTTGCGACTGCAATTTCTGATACTGCTTCTTTTGATGTTACAGTTTGATGGCAGATGGTCCTGCGACAGCTACTGGAAGACTCGGCTGCTCGGCGACTTCTTCTTTCACGGCTTCCTCGACGACTTCGGGTTCATCAGCTGCAAGTCCACTGATTTCTCCCCAAAGTGGAGCTGGAGTTCCTTGGAAGGCTGCACGGGTGTTATAGAAGGTTCGCCAAGCATTGGCGCCTTCATCGGCGGTATTAAACTCCCAAGTATCCAGTGCGGTAAGAACGGCAGCTACAGTTCTAGAAGCTGTTGGTACAGTAGTTGCCCGAAAAACAATATCCACGTGTATATAATATGTTTCTTCTGGGTGACCCCAGGGACCGAGACCAAGGACGCGTTCAGAATCACCAGAGGTGCCCTGTGCTGTGAACTGAAGAACTGATACTCCATGTTGAGTAGCAGCGCGACCGAGGTAAGTATTTGATAAACTGTGCCATAACTCCTGATCCATTGTATCACAATTCCCTTGTGTGCGAATCTTGTGTGCCAGGAGTTGAGCTGTGGAGAGAAGATTGAAACCAAGGCTGGCGACGATAGGAACATTGGTAACGTGTAAGGAATATCCCGTGTCGACTGATTCAAGTATTACACTCCCAATAGATCTTGCCATAATGGTTTGTCCGTTTGCAACTGTGACTGTTATCGGACGATGAAGAGGACACTGGTTGGTGATGACGCTTGTTTCAGCGGAGCACATGTGCCAACCGCAACAGCTGTCGAGATACCAAGTATTGGGTCCTGAAATGACTCGAGCAAGGTTAGCGTAAACTTGCGGTAAGGGAATGCCCTCTGCACTGGTGGTTTCTTCAAGTTGTGTCTCGAAATCTGTATCTGAAATATCAACTGTTGTAACACATCCAAAAACCCCTTTTCCTGATGTTGCAGATGCAAAGACCGGAGGACGATGCTGTGATGGCGGTGTACTCTGCGGCATCTGCTGCGTCTGGGACGTCGACTGCTGCATTTGCTGATGTGGCTTCGGTAACTGCTGCGAACGATGATATGGTTGCGAAGTGCTGCGACGGTTTTGACAACGACTGCGACAAGTTTGGTAAGTATGTCCTGGTTTCTTGCAGAAATGGCAGAAGGGATATTTCGGGGGAAGTCGTTGCTGTGGCTCTGGATTTGAGTAAAAACTTAATTGTAATCCTTTCTTCTGATTGCGTTGTGACTGCAGGTCAAGATCTTGCTGTTCCGCTTGAAGATACGACGAAATTTCGGTTTCTGAGAGGTTCGGATTCATGCGCAAGAAGGCGCGCGTCTGTCGCCACTCGGGACCAAGTCCAGCAAGAAGGACCATGAGATACATCTCACGAGGGAAGTATCCTCCACTCTTCTCCAGTTGATCTTGTAGTGTGCGAACACGATTGACGTAATCCATGACATTCTCGTTTGTCATCATCTGCACACTTGTCAGCTGCGAAAGAATCTTACTTGCTGTTATTGTGTCTTTTGCCATGTACACCCCCTTTAAGTGGTTCCATGCAGTTTCAGCTGGCGTGAAGCTTGAATGAAAAGATCGAACGCCAAGCTGCTCCTTTGGCGACAGGTTCCGAACTAGAACCGTATACGCCCCGAGAGAGGCGTGCAGGAAACTCTGTTGCTCCAGTTGTGTTCCCATGACAGGATACGTAAACTCGCCGGTGAAGAACGGCCATAGCCCAGCGAACTGCGCCAGAAGCTCAAACTCGAAGCTCCAGGAGTAAAATTCAACTCCGTTAAAAGGTATAGTAGTCTTGATCTGCGTGCTGGTAAGTAGATTTGGCGGTTGAAAAATAATCCCCTGTTGTTGAGGTTGTTGCTGTTGCTGGAATTGCTGTGGATGCTGCAGTTGTTGCTGTTGTTGCTGATGTTGCTGTTGCTGTTGTTGTTGCTGAGCAGGTGATCGCCCGAAGATGTAAAAGGGCTGCTGCTGCTGCGACTGCGGCTGCTGCGTAAACGGCGAGAAGGCAAATGAGCCAGTACTTGGAGCTGAAGCTCCACGCATGTAACTTGAGCCGTCAAGGCTCATTCCACTAAACGCTGACGATATTGACTGTGTTGAAAACTGCTGTGGTGTTGCTTGTTGCTGTGCTGTTGCCTGATGTTGTGCTGTTGCCTGTGTTTGTTGTTGTTGCGCTGTACGTGCAGTCGATGAAACACCTGGAGTACTGACAGAAGGCGGATTCTGCTGCTGCATACTGATGTGCGCATAAGCCAGTGGAAACGGTCCAGAGGCTGAGAGACCAGTGGCGGTCGTGGAGACAGGTACTCCAGTAGTTCCAGAACTGGATCCGGTAGATGGTGCTGGTGATGTCCCAGTCATTGTTGACAGTAGTCTTAAATCCAGATAGCTCTCATACCATGTAATAATTTGACAGGTGTTGCACGAGACTAAGTGTAGAATCTGCAAACACAAACACTTGGAAAACCTCAAGTGTTAGCCTAGGATCTTTACTGGAATGGTAGACAAGTAAGACAGTGGAAGTCTTTGTAAGAATGAACCTGAGTATATAATTCAGTTGAAGTCAAGTTTAAAGTCTCAAAGTTGAAATCTCAAGGTGAACAATAGAAAGGCATAACAAGGATTTTATAGCTCTAGGAAAGTACCTGTTCGCTAATGTACCTGTTCGCTAATGTACCTGTTCGTCACTATCGCGCTATGCGCCCTAAATGATAATGAAGAGACGCGACTATTCGCGTGACTGAAACGACTGTCCTCATGACGAGCGCTATTTGCTGACGTCATCCCACAGACTTATATTCTACAGTAGGATTCGACACTATCTACCGATAATCGACTTACAGAAATGCTAAGTATGCATTATATCACAACAAACACTACCCCTTATCTAGCCTAGGAGGTGTGTCAACTTATACATATATTTGTATGTAGAAGTTATAGGCTAGATAGGGGTGTATTCTTAGAGGGTACAACTCCAACCCTATATCTCCCTTGTTCACCCTTGTTTCTAGTCATTCTTGTATTCTAACAGTTTGACCTGTATTGAAATCTAGCCTGACGATTCAGTTTAATTAGAACGGGCGAAAGGAAGGATACTAATGTGCTGTGAATAATGCGGTTTTTTCCTATGCGCCAATTGCGTGTAATAAGCAGGTGCATTTGTTTAGGCGCAACATTGTTTTATGTAAACACGTGCTTATGCAGAGGTTCTTATACATATTTGTGATTGTATGGAAGTTCCGTTTATTAATACGACTTAGTCAAAATGTAATTTACATTATTCAAGATTGTTATACAATCACAATGTGGGCTTTAAACTGCGCAATAACGAGTACAGCGTACTGTAATCACAAACGAATCGTCAGCAGTACAGCTTGGATTCGCCAATCAATCCTCGAGGAGTGTCCGCGTTCATTCCCCGATGAAACTCCCAGTATGCCGAGGACTGCCCTTGAAGATATTTTTTGTCTTTCTAGGGGATATACTGACGCGTCACCCAAGTGTCAATTTTGTGACTTCCGGCCCGATTTGTTTTGTGACGGTCCTCATACGTGCCAAAGAAGGGCCGAATCTACAGAGGAAATTACTATGTCAATGTAGCATATGATCCATTGTGTGTATCTTTCCGTATTTCGCCATGAGAAGGGACGGAGTGGGCGAGCTCCCTAGGAGATGGCTTCTGTACAAGGCAATGCATTGGTGGGGTTGGAAAATGGGCGCGAGAGATCGAAAATGGGTGGTGGGAGAGTGAAAGGGGGCGACAGGGGAAGCAAAAGGGCGTGACGGGACAGAGGCGAAGGAAGAGGGGAAGGGTAAAGCGAAGTTGAATAATGGAAGAGTTTCATGATGGGTGTTTTATAGGCTAGTAGTGTGCGCCCACCAGGACATGGGTGTGGGACAGGACATGGGTGTGTGACAAGACATGGGTGTGTGACAGGACATGGGTGTGTGACAGGCCATGGGTGTGTGACCGGCCATGGGTGTGTGACAGGCCATGGGTGTGTGACAGGCCATGGGTGTGTGACAGGCCATGGGTGTGTGACAGGCCATGGGTGTGTGACAGGCCATGGGTGTGTGACAGGCCATGGGTGTGTGACAGGACATGGGTGTGTGACAGGCCATGGGTGTGTGACAGGACATGGGTGTGTGACCATGGGTGTGTGACAGACCATGGGTGTGTGACAGGACATGGGTGTGTGACATGCCATGGGTGTGTGACAGGCCATGGGTGTGTGATAGGACATGGGTGTGTGACAGGCCAAGGGTGTGTGACACGCCAAGGGTGTGTGACAGACAATGGGTGTGTGACAGGACATGGGTGTGTGACAGGACATGGGTGTGTGATAGGCCATGGGTGTGTGACAGGCCATGGGTGTGTGATAGGCCATGGGTGTGTGATAGGCCATGGGTGTGTGATAGGCCATGGGTGTGTGATAGGCCATGGGTGTGTGATAGGCCATGGGTGTGTGATAGGACATGGGTGTGTGACAAACCATGGGTGTGTGATATGCCATGGTGTGTGACAGGCCATGGGTGTGTGACAGGCCATGGGTGTGTGACAGGCCATGGGTGTGTGACAGGCCATGGATGTGTGACAGGACATGGGTGTGTGATAGGATATGGGTGTGTAACAGGCCATGGGTGTGTGACAGGCCATGGGTGTGTGACAGGACATGGGTGTGTGACAGGCCATGGGTGTGTAACAGGCCATGGGTGTGTGACAGGCCATGGGTGTGTGACAGACCATGGGTGTGTGACAGGACATGGGTGTGTGACAGGACATGGGTGTGTGATAAGACATGGGTGTGTGACAGGCCATGGGTGTGTGATAGGCCATGGGTGTGTGACAGGCCATGGGTGTGTGATAGGCCATGGGTGTGTGATAGGCCATGGGGTGTGTGATAGGCCATGGGTGTGTGATAGGCCATGGGTGTGTGATAGGCCATGGGTGTGTGATAGGACATGGGTGTGTGACAGGCCATGGGTGTGTGATAGGCCATGGGTGTGTGACAGGCCATGGGTGTGTGACAGGCCATGGGTGTGTGACAGGACATGGGTGTGTGACAGGCCATGGATGTGTGACAGGACATGGGTGTGTGATAGGATATGGGTGTGTAACAGGCCATGGGTGTGTGACAGGCCATGGGTGTGTGACAGGACATGGGTGTGTGACAGGCCATGTGTGTGTGAGAGGCCATGGATGTGTGACACCATGGGTGTGTGACAGGCCATGGGTGTGTGACAGGCCATGGGTATCTGATAGGACATGGGTGTGTGACAGGCAAATGTGGGTGACAGGCAAAGCGTGTGTGACAGGACATGGGTGTGTGACAGGACATGGGTGTGTGATAAGACATGGGTGTGTGACAGGCCATGGGTGTGTGAAAGGCCATGGGTTTGTGACAGGCCATGGGTGTGTGACGGGGCATGGGTGTGTGACAGGCCATGTGTGTGTGACAGGGCATGGATGTGTGACAGGACATGGGTGTGTGACAGGCCATGGGTGTGTGACAGGCCATGGGTGTGTTACAGGCCATGGGTGGCTGACAGGCCATGGGTGTGTGACAGGCCATGGACGTGTGACAGGCCATGGGTGTGTGACAGGACATGGGTGTGTGACAGGCCATGGGTGTGTGACAGGCATGGATGTGTGACTGGACATGGGTGTGTGACAGGCCATGGGTGTGTGACGGGCCATGGGTGTGTGACAGGACATGGGTGTGTGACAGGCCATGGGTGTGTGACAGGACATGGTCAACGCCTGAAACGCCTTGTCGGTTGCATACGCCGGAAACTTTGTCGCGGTAATCTGTCCGCCGAATGAGCACCGGACCTTCAGACGCAGAGCCGCTCTCGAAATCGTCGCTGCCAGCCGGGTACGGAGCATACCCATGCTTGGCGGGCCTAGCCCTAGGCCCTCCGTCCTCCCTCCTCTCCCTTGCTTCCTCATGTCGCCACGTCCTTGCTTCCCTCTGCTCGCCCCTTTCTTCCTCTTGCCATTACTCCCCCTCCCCTTATCCTTCCCACCGTTGTGCCGTCCGACGCGCCTGTCCCTGCCGCGCTTTTTGCCGCGCTTGCGGTCGCCGTCAGACTCGCTCTCGAGGGACTCAGGCTCGCTGCTTTCAGTGCTCCGACCGTCGTAGTTGGACTCTGACGCCGAGGACTCCCCCGAGTCAGAGTCGCTGGAAGAGGACGGCGAGTCTGATTCTCGGGAGAGTCTTCGCGCTTTTTCCGTTCGTCTCGCGGACGCGGCCTCTTTCGCGGCGTTCAGGTGATGGGGCAATGGCGTCGCTCTTCGCTCGACGGGTGTCTCCATCGCGACGCTCCCATTCGCCGTCCTTGTCCTTGTTTGACGGTTTCTCTGGGCTGGTCGTCGCGGCCACGGTCGCGCGGCCTTCCACACGAGCGGGAGTCTTCAAGACGGGGCCGCAGCAGCGGCTGCGAGGGCCTCGCGCGATCCGACTCCGCCACAATTGTTTGCGACAGTTCACCGTTAGGGGAATCATCGTGCGACGGCGGCATGGCGCTAGCAGGGGACTCCACGACGACCATCGCCACTTCCTCAACCGCCTGAGGCGCGTCTGCTGCGGTCGTGGGTGGACAATCGGCGTTCATTGCGGCGCTCATCACGACGCGGTTCCGCGTCGGGTGCGGCAGCTGCGGAATGGGAGCGGCGCTCGCGTCCGCCTTCGCCGGAGGGGTGCCGGCCTCTGGGGCTGCGACCACTTTTGCTGCCTTTGTATCCTCCTCTGCTAGCGCTGCATCCTCCCTCTGCTACCGCCGCATCCCTGTCTGCTACCGCCGGCATCCTTGTTGCTACTCGCCGCATCCTCCTCTGCTACCGCTGCATCCTCCTCTGCATCCGCTGCAGACCCCTCTACTGCTGCTGCAGTGGCCTCGCTGCGTTTCTCTCGGCCTTTTACCTTACGGCCCGTTCTTTTTTCGTCTCTGCCTTGGGCTTCTTGGGGCGTGCGGCGGTCCATCATCCCTGCATGGCGGCCCGGCAACGCGCAATGTCAGGGAATGTTAAATACGAAGGCACAAAAAACGCCACCTGGCGGGTGGAGCATGGAAGACAAGTAGCTCACCGGGGGTGCCGACAAGATCACTATCGGTTTCTTCCGCTGAGCCGACCTTTCATTGGGCTACGAAGCCGCCCGGCGCGACGTCCCGTAAGGGTCGTCTAGGGCATCATCGTCGCCATCCCGGGTCGGAAGATTGCGTCACTTTCCAGCCCGTCGCCCTTCTCACCGAAAGCTTGTTTGCTTTCCGGTATTCACGGACCGCTTCTGCAGTTTCCTCTCTATAATCTTCCGTTTTTTCCCCCTCCGTTTACCCCTGGCAGGCACCTCGCCTGAGCCACTGTCGTAGTCCTTTAGATCTACGCGCTCCTTACGGCGCCTATCTCCGCGTCTGACTTCGTCGCGTGTCATGGCTACTGGTGGAGGGGAAAATGAACGCAATCACAAGCCCTATACCGTAGAGTCTAGAAATGTGCAAACATGCTGTCAAATTGAAAACTGGAAATGCGGATAACCAATGCTACCTTCTGGGACGGTCGGACAGGGTGAGGGGAGGGGAAGGGGTTACCTGCTACAGTGATGTGTGTGAACCCTCAAAGAACCCCTATAGTCCTCTTGTGCCCTTTGTTTGGCGTGAGCGACGCGACACCCTCGGATTACATATCGAATGGCGCACAAGCTTCATCATCGATTCGGGCGAACATGCCTGATTGGTGGGGGGAAATGAACATGGCATGGCGTGCAAAATTACATTGTGTCCGACGTGGTCACGCCCTGTAAGATCAATGTATACACCACCCGCTATGTGTAGAAATTGCTTAACCAGTACTAAATCGACGAAGCGTGGAGACTTTATGATTATGACACAGATGCATTACCGAAGAGCCCAAATTTTTGCAAAGCAGTGGTAGACGAGAGGTTATTCATTTGAGGAATTCGCGAAAGAGTGTTTAGGGTCAGTGGTGTGCAATGAACATGAAGCAATCCAATGTGGTTTGTAGGATGTTCCGCGTGTTCATCCTTGAGATGTGCGCTCTGCGGCAGTGGTTAATTGGTCTTGTGAACCCTGTCGGAGTCAATGTAACAAAACAGTGTTCATTGTAGCACGACAATACATGATGCATACAAAAGTGAATGCCAAGGGTATGTCGAAGATGCACTTAACAGGGGTACGTTACCTATGCACCTACGGGTCGGACGTGCCAGCAGTTTGGTGAGGAAGTGAGCTGCAATGTCGCCAATGTAACAGTACGTCAGGTTCACTCTCCCGTCGTGGACTTTGACTTTGACGCAACAGTTTCTTAGGGTGATGTGCATAGTGCGAATGATGAAACTGGGTTTGTTGGCGATGTGCTGAGCTTCGCAACTTGCAGCGGATCCTATAGGTGGGAACCTTTGTGAACAGCGGAGGTTGCTGCGATGTAAACGGTTCAACCGAGGTTAGAGCGGTCAGCTCCTGTGCCTGTCAGTTCGAGAAGATGGGTCCGCTAGGCTCTTGTCGAAGTGGAACCTCGCTGTACATCTGGTCGAAACGTGACGCACGATAAACAGCTTACATCTGCGCTGCTGCCAGTAGGGTGCATGGGCAGCAGCATGAATTGTTTAGGTGTCGGGGCTGTAGCCACCTACTGGAGTGCGGCGGGGTGTGGAGAGCGGCCCCATCGTTATGTTTAATTGCTTCGCGATAGTCTGGGCATACTTTGACTCGTACATAAAGATGCCATGTGGCGTGTAGGCGACGTTGAGGCTGAGGAACAGGGTCCCTGTCATGGAGGTGGTGATGTCAACGCGGTGCCGTAGGCTATGCTCGAAGTGATCTAGCAGGTCGGATTATGTGCCGTTGTAGAATACGACGTTCATATCATGATGACTTGGTGAAGTATAACAGAAGGATATAGTGGTATATAGACGAGGGTGTTGTACCCTCTAAGGCTCAATGTATTGTAGTCTACAGTAACTGTCTAAGTTACATTTGACAGTTCACGTAAACAGTGTGGAGGATGGGGTCTCTGCGGAAGTGGATGCGATACATCCCGGGATGGAGAGGTAGATCGATGTGTTGGCATGCAACAAAGTGGTGAAGGATGAACACGCTGTCGCCCGGCGAAATGCTACGTACAAATAGTAGAAGCAGTGAAAACGGCGTGAGGTTAAGGTATAGGAGGTAGGCGACAATGTCGAGAGAAAAAAGGAGTACAACATAAGAGTGAGTGATACAACAGTAGGTGTGGTACCCTATACAGTAATGCTTAGTAACAACTACCAAGGCTACAGTTATGTAATATCATATACATTTTAACACAACCCTTAGGCTTGGTACCAGAAGGACCCACACACCCCCAGACCCCCTAACCTAGCACCTCGATTCCCATCAGCCACGACAACTCCAGCAGGGCCAACCCCAAGGCTCTGAAACCATGTCTTGAAGTTGGGCTAGGTAGAAACAGGAGAACCGAAAACCATGGTGTGAGGTTTATATGCAGAAGGTAGGCAAGAATGTGGAGAGAAAATCGGACTGCAAAAGAAGAGAGAGGGATATAAGGAGGAGTCTTGTACCCTGAACGGTACTGTTCAGCAACAGCTATCAACCATACATTTATATACAAACAGTCCTAAGTTCACACACGCAGGCGTGAAGGCTGAAGGGCGTAAACGTAAGGTCGAAGTGGATGCCCTGGCATTGGTTGTAGCCACGTACGATGTATCGAGCCGTGCGGCAGTAGACGTTTCCCTTGGCCTATGAGTTGAGGCAACTGTGCAATTTGCATGTTAGGATGTTGGCGTTCACAGCCTTGCGCCATTCAGCGCGGTGTGGACCAGTGAGAGCCTGCCATGAGGTCACTGGCTCGATCACGGAGGGATTCTCGTGAACGCTGAGTACCCAGACGTAGCGGGTGGCGGCGTCAATGAAGGTGAGTGTGTACTCCTTATCAGAAGAAGTTAGGACACTAGCTACTTCAGATAGGATACTAGGAGGCTAGGAAAGCCGCCATGGAATGGCGGGAGGAAAGTAGATGTTGGAGCTGGAAGAGAATATCGAGAGAGAAGGGGTTCGATTAGGAAGGGAGAGGTGTACAAGGAGGGGATTGTACCCTCTTCAGAAAGGTTCGGTAACTAGCAAGCCTAACAGTTATGTATAACTTATATAATCTCAACACTGCTCCCCGTGGGGTGTACTCTCTTTTTGGGGTTGAATGCCATGTGAGTATTTATCGGTAATACTGAACTACTATATGATGTTCATTGTTGCCGTGTATCATATTCTTAAACCGTCGTCCCGAAGTTGGCGTATGGAAAGACGTGTACAATCTCGCATGTGATGTACGTTTGGACAGCTCAGCGCAGGCTCGGGCATATGCACGTCCATTGAATACTGCCCGATACTGCAAAATCAGTGGTGGTTACGTCTCGTCCCAAACGGGCCCCAGCGCTAATCGGCGAAGGTACCCTCCAGCAAAACATTTCAGTTTCCGCCCGTCTCCGCCTGCATAGTCACAGATATGTGGGCCCATTTGCTCCACGCCCGTATACACAAAACGAAGAACAATGCAACAGCAAACTCAGAGTGCCGCACGAGTGGATGACCTAAACATACAGTAGTCTGTTGCCCCGTCTCGCTCAGACGGGTGTAGCGATCGCGTTTTGACAAGTCCTGGACTCTGTATTTCGCCACCGCCGCGGCGCCAAACCAGGGTTCATGTCGGGGCCTAACATACCTTCCTCTACTCCCTTCAAATCGTTCAGTATGCCCCGGCTGAACAGTGACGGGTGGCTCCTTGTCGAAGAGAGAGACGCGAACACGCTTCGGGGGGGAAACTGGATCGCAGGAGCCCTCATCGACTGGGGGGGACTGTGAGTTGGCGTGCCGGTGCAGTGCGTCGCGTGGCTAATAAGACATTATTCATTAATCATGATAGCGTTTTCCCCGCAGGATGCTGAGCTACGAATCCACGGAGAGCGACCCAAAATGGCTATACACGTCAACCTTTTTCTGGGAGGTTGCACGACTCAATGCGGGTGGGCTTCGTAGGCGGGATGGTCTAAAGGCGGACCCTCTCGAGTACTCTTTTGTCTTCATCCCCGTTCATTGGGAGTGAGTCATCTGACAGTATCAGCATGGTAGGTCACACCGGTCATTTGCACCTACCCAGGTCGCAAGGTGTCCAGGTATCAAGTGCTGATGTTGCGCACGTTCACCATGTCACAATTCTGCCAGCAAAGCGTTTGAAAAGTGTTCCCTCGAATGTTCTGCAAATGTTCCACATGTCAAAGGGCTGCAGTTCGTACGCGCACATATGTCTCGTTCATTGGTGATACGGCAAACCCCGCCCCATAATGACGCCTCGCAGATCACACTGGAGCTTGCTGGTGCTCCAATTGCGACACACCCCGCAATCCCCGACGCCTCTGGACGTGCATATCTGGCACGCGGATTCAAAAGACCAGCATGGGGGCGCGGATGCACCTGTGCGCGAGTGAGTTATGTAGGTGCCTCGTTCACCAGATTGCACGTACAGCATGCTCCTCGGTTGTAATGTTCTTCCACTGTCGAACCATCGCAGGTACCTGCGACGCCAAGTCGTCCGCCGTTTTCCCACATTCAATAGGGTGGACGCAAGGGAATGGGCTGCATCCATACCCTTCACCCAGATACAGGTGCGCGCTTGGAGAAGGGCGCCGTTATGCCATGGGTGCATAAGGGATCCCAGTGCTGGTTCCATAGGGTTGCGGGCCAACCTATTCCCAACCCTTGCCACATGCCAACGCACTTTATGCTGCCAGGTGCCCAAACAGGACGGGATAGACGACTGCGGGGTCTACACAATGCGTTTTATGCACCATCTAGTGGAGACCAGATTTGCAGATCTCGGACAAATCGAGCTGGAGGGAGATCCAAAAGCGTGGCGGAGGCAGTATCGGCGAGACCTGCGGAAATGGTCAATGTACTACAATGAGTACGAGCAGAAGCTCGCCTGCCTCTCAGATGTCACTGCGCCTACGTGATCTGTCTAGAGGACGCTTAACCCATGTAATGCCGTAAATGGAAGACTGCTTGTTGGTATGTTGCTGTATAAAAGCCCTTATCTACGGGTTTACATATGAGGTAACGTGTACAACATACACCCTCAGCCCTGCTCGCCCGCACCCAAACCTAAAACAACGGATCTCCCCCCTCGTCAGTTTTCAGCACGTCCGCGGTAGCCCCTGCGACACTGGCATTTCCCACCTACACTGTAGCAATGCGGTCCGTTGGCGGTCCTCATTGTCTGTCCGTTCCGACATGAACCAAGGGGTACTTTCAGTGCGGTTGGGTGACGTACCTCGCGGCTCAGAAAGATGTTTACAAAGAAGATATCGGTTGGGATGGATTTCGACCAACAACAAACGCGCTGATCTGAACCACGCTGTCACCACTCACCTAGTTCCGAAACCCTAATCACGCAGTGCGTATAACATCGGTGGCCTCTCGCGATCGGTTCGCTAAGTCAGGTGACGGTCAAATATACTTGTGGAGCATGACGCCCATGAGATGCTCCTTCTGTAAGTTATGCTTCGTATGCTACCAAACACTAAGAACACACCAGATTAGAAGCAAGCGGTGCAAGAGGTTGCAGAAGCTTGCTACGGCACATCGGCAGCAGTACGGCGTTAGCGTACGACGCGAGTCCAATGGAGTATACACGCTCCACGATTGTGGATCTGCCCCGCTTCCCCTTCCGCGCCTTCCAGGGTCAGAGGATGCTCTGCCTCGCGGGCGGCCTGCAGTACCCGTACCACCGACAGAACCCTCCGAGCCACCGCTACCCGACCCTGGCGCTGTCGCGGATGTAGAGGAGAGGGAGCTCTTCGACCTTAAGGCCGAGATCTGTATCTTAGCCCGTAACTTCGGCCTAAGCAATGCAGCCGTCACAGCTTTGATCCAGATCTTCCGACACCCCGACCTCGACCCGCGGCAGATCGACAGCTGGAACAGCCATCGGGATCTTGAGAAGTACGAGGAGGAGTTCGAGGTCGGCGAGGAGAATGAGTGGCTGGAGACCGAGATCCCTGTGGACCATGAGGTTGGGTTCCTCGTCTTCCGACATCGTAGGGTACTAAAGGTAGCACACACAAGCCTGCGAGAAACCTTGTAGCTTCAACACCAATCTAGCACATGTTGGTTCCACTGTGTAAATAGCGCATGCCATGGACACTTATTGGTGTGTAACTCTGTTTTTCCCACCATTGTAGGTGTTGGAAGCCTTGTACAAGCGGCAGTCGGCCGTCTCGGGCTTCCTGCATCGCACGGAAGAGTGGAAGGTGGACGGGGTGCGTCGATACAGCACGCCCATGAACACGGACTTCATGCTCAAAGCACAGGTACTCGCACGATACATGCATGTTCAGTGACCCCTATGGTTTCCGTCTTCCGCGTGCTGCATCTTTCGGCCGACATCTGTACTCTGCTCTCCACCCTCTGGGACCGCATTATCTAAACCGTGTTTAATGGTGTGTTGAATAACGTAGGAGCACATAGGGGACCGTGGGTTCCCCCTCGGCATCATTCTCTTCAGCGATGCGACGAACCTCTCCAACAACGGCAGGAAAACTGCCCATCCCGCGCTGCTGGCTCTCTCCAACACGCCCGAGTGGGCTCGGTGGGGCGAGGACGGCACCGAGATGCTCGGTAACTTCCCAACCATCCCCGCCGACTTGTCGCCTGAGGAGAAGTGCAAGGCATTCCAGGCCGGCCTTGCTGTCCTGGCAAGCCCCATAATCGAAAAGTCCAAGCTTAGTGGGTGAGCCATCACTGCGTTGCGGTTCTTCCCGCGGTTGCCACTACACCCCACCCTTACCCTCTCCTGTGCCGGTATCACGACGCATCCGCATCCAGGCGCCATCGATCCTCACTCTCTCAGCCCACCACCCCCCCTCCCTCTTCCTCACCTTCCCCCCCACCCCCCATCCTACTGGAACTTCCCTCAGTGGCGGGCTGCTGTTAGAGGATCACGCGGGAAACCACGCGATGGGGTTTCCGGTGCTGTACGCCTACGTCACTGACCACCCCGAGTCCTCCAAGGTCTCGTGCACCATGCAGTGCCAGTCGTTCCGTCCATGCTCCATGTGTCTAGTGGAGCAGAACAACCTGAAGCAAATCTTCTCGACAACTCTGAATCGTACCGTCAAGGGCCAGAAGGCGGTGTACAGGCTTCTCAAACGCTCAGAGCGGGTGGAGACGCCAAGCGCCCTGGCTGCCCTCAAGTCGAAGTACTCGACGCACGCCGTGCCAGTAAGTGGGAGGGTTCTGGTTCTGCCTCTTTCGCGGGAGATGGGGGGTGTTGGTGATCGGAACGTTATGGAACTCGTAACGCATTTGAAACGTTCGCAAAGTGTTTGCGGAAAGGTTTTTCATACATTTCGCGAAGCGTTTGCGGAATTGTTTTTTGAACACTTAGCGAAGCGTTCTAAGATTGTCACATCTAACGTCAACATCTTGTCCTGCATCCACGCCGCATATTTCCCCCAGCCCGATCGACGGGTCACTGTCTCTTGTCAATTCGCGGCCGCGTATTGCCCTTAGCCCGCTGGACGGGTTAGTGTCTTTTAATCATTGCATCTGGATCAACGTTGCTCGTTCTACGGCATTCCATTTGAACATTGTTCCATTATCGGTGTCGATTCCCTTGCGCGCGCGGTACAGCGTACCGCCGAGGTGCACCGCATGTTGATTTGCCAGTCGCACACTGTAACGGCAAACGCCCCCCATCACGGCCACTCGCGTACTCGCCGATTAGTGAGCCCGCGCTGCCCATGCAAGTCCCCGTACCCTTGCCGTCCCTTCTCGACAACTCACTCTCCAGCGCAAGGCACTAGCGGTACGTCGCATCCGTGCTTTTGCCAATAGTTGTGCGCTGAACCATGGCAGACGATGGCAGGCGTGGACCATCCCGCGAGCTTCCCTACCTACCTGACGATGTGTGGCTTAAAATCTTCGAAATTCTTCGGACAAGTCTTTGGGAGAACGGCCGGGATTGGCCAGACATCAAGCCCGACCTCAAACCATTCGTGCGTCAGCAGGCCGTGTGTCGCCGGTGGTACTATCTATCCCACCCAGCGCATCCCCTGGATTTCCCCTGGCCCAACTGCTACATGTTGTTCCGTCCACCGTTCACCGAGAGGGACTTGCGTGTGCCATGGCCGGCACTGGGGCAGCCGCCGGTAGAGTACCTCCGTGATTGGCCTTCTCGGGTCCGCCTCCCTGTTTGCCCGGTGATGGTGCAGGGGGGATCCAGTGAAAGATCCTCTGTTTGGCGAGAATCCAATGGTTGCTCTGCACGATGTCCTGTGCGAACGAAGCCATAGCGTCTGCATGTTGTACCTCTCGTGTTTACTGGAATATTTCAGAGAAGTTACAACTTGCTGGCTAACGTGTTTCTTCGATTTGCGATGCACCACAAGGCCCCACCCCCGCCCCCCCTTTCCCTCTCCCCCCGTTAACCGCCGATGTCCGCCCCCCCGCTGTGGCCACGACTCCCTTTGACACATCCCCACCCTCGTTGCCTCTGCCCTACTCCGTGTCCCTCCTCTCTCATCTACCGCACACACGGCCCTTCTCGCGTGCTCGCTCTCCCACCTTTCCCCCCCCCTGTCCTTGCTCTCAGCCGCCACGTATCTTTTCCCAGACCCAAAGCCGTGTCCATCGGACTCTGCTGTCCCGTTTGTTCATGCACCCCCCCTTAACCCAGGACCGTCCTCTCATGTCCCGCCCTTCTCCCCCCCCCCCCTCTCCCTTTCCCCACGGGCTATGCCAACGCGTCCCCACCCCTCCACCCACCCCAAACTAACCCTAATCCCGACCCGCCACGTGTGCCCGCCTCATGGGTAATCCCCAGTGCGCGTTGTGGGAGTGGGAGTTCTCCACGACGCTGTGGGGGAACATCTACCTAGCACTCCCTCCATGCATCATGCACATGATAGAGCAAGGGTGGTGGCTGCATGCCATGAAGTGCCTGGTCGCTAAGCTCACTCCATCGGAGCGCGGCATCCTGCTCAAGTGAGCTGCTGCTTCACCCGCTGTGTGTTGCCTTTTATTTTCTCCAACTCATACTGGTCCTTGTAGTCCGTGACGTCCTTCCACATGTCCCCTGCCTCCCTTGTCTTTCGCCCTCCCCCCAAACTTTCCTTGTGCTCCCCACCCCCCCCCCCCAGCCGATACTCCGCTATCAAGGCAGTGACGCCGTCCTTCCTTCTGCGACTGCCCGGCGGGTGGATGTACTTTTCCACGACCGCCGGGTTCGCGGCGTCTGAGCACCGTGCAATGATGCAAGTGCTCCCCCTCATCCTCATCCTCGACAAGCGGGAGCCACAGCGGGAGGCGGTCGTGCGCATGGTGACATGGTACAAGGAGCACATCCGTGCGGAGTACCACACCGACGAGTCGCTAGTGAAGCTGACGAGCGACGGCAAGGAGTACGTTCACCTTGCTTACCTGCACCCACTCCCCACTCCCTCGAAGCTTGGTCCCCCCTTACATCCGCGGAAGCCCCCCCTGCCGTGCCTTTGTTGTGCACCTTTATGAGTATCACACCTCCTCCAAACCCGCCCACCCACCCCCAACTTCCCCCACCCCCAATCCCCCATGACCCATTATCTGCCCGTCTGCACCGCATAGCATGGTCGACTCCCTAGGCACGGCATTCGAAAACCAGAAGTCGGGGTGGGGGATTGTCAAGATCCATGACATCTGCCACCTCTCCGAGACGATCAAGGCACGTGGGCTCCCCCACGAGTACTCCAGCAACTCCTACGAGCACGCCCACAAGACCACTGTCAAGCGGCCCTCCCGGGGCTCGAACTGGAAGAATGTCGACCAGAGGATTGTGAAGAAGCACATTCAGCATGCGGTCGTGCGGCAACTGACGAGAGAGGTGGGAGGCGACGCCACCTATGAGACGGCAATGAAGCAGGTATGCCCCCTTCTCCCGTACCCCCATTTTCCCCCCCTTCCCTTCCCTTCCCTCCCTCCCCCCCTCCCTTCCGCCCCCACTCCTCCACCCCACCTTTGGGGCTGTCGACCTTGTATTCAGTAGGTGTTCCCCAGTCACATCTGCCTCTCGCCGTCCTTGATTTCACCCTCCCCCAACCCCATCCGCCCTCCACCCCCTTGTGTTTCACCCACCCCCCACTGCTGTTACCCCTCCCTGGCATCACCCTTCCCCACTCCCTGACAGCACACTCCCTCATCCCCATACTTTTATCCCCGATCTTGGAAATCAGCCCTCCACTCTCCCACCAGCCATCCTTCTTCTATGCATTCACCCTACACATCTCTTGTCTGCCTTATCACCTCATAGGATTCCCCCTTCCCCACTCCCATCCTCCCCTTCCCCTTCAGGTTGTCCCTTAACCCACCCCGACCCTCCCAAACGCACTAACCACCCCGTGTACCCGACACCGTCCCCCACAGGCGGCCCTCCTTGGCAAGAGGGTCATGACGAAGACTTGCAGGCGCATGGTGGTGGGGGACCAGCTGGACACCGTTTTCTTGTCCTACATACGTACTGCTGGCGTGGAGGCGATGCGAGAAATGGCAAACAAGATGGACCTCGCCAAAATCACGACGCGCACTGTCTGGGTAAGTGCTTAACCATCCCAACTCCCCATCTGCCTCCTCAACGCTCCTATGAACTTGCAAGCCACACTTGTGGGAGGTGCTGGTGTTCATGATTCCATGAAGTGTGCCCTCTTAACCCGTCTAGTTAAGAACTATGCCGGTCTCGACCCTGACCGAAACCCTTTCGCGTATTGCTTTATCTCATCCCCACCCCACCCCTCCCTCCCAACACCCCCATCGCATGTGCATTACCCTCATTTCCGCTGAAACCCTTCACCGCATGTCCCCCCAACCTCCACTCCCTAATCCCGCCTTGCTGTTCCGCCCGTCCATGCCACTCTTACCCGAGTGCATGCAGGTGCACACGGCCATGGCCATCCCCCCCCACGACCGCATGGAGTGGACGGCCAAGGGACAGTTTGTGAAGGCGACCCCGCATGAGTGGCTCTTCTCTGACGTCTCTATCAAGCCCGCAGATGGAGTCGGCCCACCGTGGTACGGCCGGGCCCTCGTGCTGTTCCACTACCTTGACGATGCAGGTGTGGAGGGTCGTGCCGCCTACATTCAGTACTACACCGAGCACCCGCGGCCATGCCCGGACACCGGGTGCAAGCGCCTGAGCCCAACGACGGGCATCGACAACTACGCTGTCATTGACATGGATTGCATCCTAAGCCTTGCCCATGTAGTCCCAAGCTGCACAGAGCCTGAGTACCGGCTTGTTAACCGTTTTCTCTTCTGACTCGACATGCACGTGTCCCCTGCCACCCTTTATAAATTACATTCATTACGACTACCATAAGTATGTGCTAACAATCGCACTTCCAACGATTTTGCACGAGCATGCTAGACTCCGTGCCATCAATTGCTGCTGCACTGTGAAAGACAGACAATGCAGTGCAAAAACCATTTCACCATTTCTATACAATAACCATGGTGAAAATTAACACTTTAATGAGCCTTTAAGTTACGCAAATACAACAATGCAGTATTTTGTAACCTTTCCACAACAATGCATCCGCAAAACATCTCAACCGCGCAACACTCGCAAACCGTTCACATGAATCGAAACGATTAACAAATACTTGGCGAACACTTTGCGGATGATCTCCAACTTTGTGCATCGCCCAAAATGGCGTAAACGTTTTGCGAACGTGACACTTTTTGCGATGTCTGACCTGGGAATATGACTTTGGAATGTGACTCAGGAATCTGACTCAGGAATCTCACCTGGGAATCTAACCTGGGAATCTCACCTGGGAATCTCACCTGGGATTCTCACCTAGGAATCTGACCTCGGAATCTGACCTGGGAATCTGACCTGTGAATCGGACCTGTGAATCTGTCTCGGGTATGTAACTTGGGAGTCTCGCTTGGGAATCGGACCAGGGAATCTGACTAAGGAACCTGACATGGGAGTCTGAGTCCGGAATCCGACTCAGTAATCTGACTCGGGCATCTGACTTGGGAATCTGACTTGGGAATCTGACTGGGGAATCTAACTTGGGAATCTGACTCGAGAATCCGACTTCTGAATCTGACACGGGAATCTGACTTGGGAATCTAACGTGGGAATCTGACCTGGGAATCTGACTTGGGAATCTGAACTGGGAATCTGTCTTGGGAATCTGACTTGGTTATCTGACTGCGGAATCTGACTTGGGAATCTGACCTTGGAATCGGACCTGTGAATCTGTCTCGGGTATGTGACTCTGGAGTCTGACTCGGAAATCTGATTGGGAACAGATGAACGAGTTATTAATGGCAAGAGAAGAAAACGGAGCAGGGAAGACAGGAAGTGAGAGAAAGACCGACCTAGATCGTCAAAAATGAGCAAAAGTTGTAGAAATGGGAGAAGGGAAGGGTAGACGAATGGAGGTGAGAAGGTGAAAAGTAATGGGCGTGAAATGATGGGGGGTGGACGAATGGAGGAGTAAATTCAGATTGTAAGCAATGTTGAGGGTAACACATTAGTAATAGCAACGACAACGACACCAGTGACGATCACTGGGATGACAGCGGCAAAAGCGGAGTGCAGCAGGAGCTCGCGGGCAGAGGGACGGCTTCTTGCTGATGTTTCTACTCCCCCCAGTGCCCCTGCTTGGAGCGCAGCTGGAGCTCGCGCGCTGCAAGTTGCAACACGCGGTGGAAGCCTCCGCACCGCATAGGCGCAGGCAGAAGCAGCAAAGGCGCAAGCAACACAAGTGCAGACGCTTGGACCAACCGCCACCACCACCTCACCTTCTCCAGTCAAGGCTTTTGGTGACTTTCAGTGACATTCATTGCCACCTGGCAGCTGTTCATAGGCTGCGATGGCGAGGGGAGGGTGGGAGGGGAGATAGCAGGGCAGGAGGGACGAGGGTTGAGGATAGTAGGGAGGCGGGCGTAGAAAAGGGGGAAGGAAGCTGCTTGGAGCTAGCCTCCTGTTCAGACGACCATTCTGTAAGGTTGTTTCAAATCAACGCGCATTCTGTGTAACAGCGACACTCTTTCTTTATCTGGTGTAATTTCCTATCCAACCTGTAGCGGCTCTATTCCTAGCTTCCATATCGTAATTTGAAGAGACTCTAATCAGGATGCATGGACAAGGACAGCATCATGCTGCATGAAAAGTTATGTATGGAGCAACTTCAAACGCATCAACTAGTAAATAATTACTTCTGAAGTTTGTACACTGAACAAAGCCTTTCACCCTCCGCTGCATTTCTCCAATCTACTACCCCCCCCTCCGTAAACCCCATCCTAGCCGGAGCCTCCAGCCAAGCACCATCACACTAATGCGTTGCTCCACCCAGATAGCTCTACCCAGGAACGCGTAATCTAGACACATGAGAGCGCCAAGGAAACACACAATAGATGGAGAGAATCTCGCGAATCTCACGAATCCCGTCTCGCGCGTCCGATTATATTCCAATTTTCGCTGCGGAACGGGATTCGCGAGATTTTCTCCAATAGTCGTAGGGCCTACGAAGCTGATCAGCCAGACGAGCTTCTTTTCGCACAAACGCTTTGATCCGGCAGGCGGGTCAGTACGGCGACTGCAGAGCGTCCACACCATGAACGATCAGAAACGTCCCTTTGAAAATCTCAGGGTCGTTAATCTGCGCGTTGGCCTTCCCGAACCGCATCTTCCTCCCCCCCCTCAGATTCGCCGACGCGGCGGCGGCGGCGTCCTCACTCTTGCTCATCTTGCGGCCATTGACGTCCTTGAGCTCACGCGCGTCGCTCATCTCCTGCTCCGAGTAGAGCCCGTCCACCATGTTGGCGCGCAGCCAGTTCCAGTACCCTTTGGCGTCCTCCAGGTCCGCGTTCGGGTTCAGCATCATGCTCACGCCCGCGCCGGCGGAGTCGGAGGTGAGCAGCGCGTCGCCCGCGGGGAAGAGCATGGCCTTGCGGTCCAGCTTGCCGAGCGTCTCGTCTGTCGGATTCCAGTCGCTCTCTGAAGCATTGCATTGCATTGCTCACACCAACACAAGAAACCAGAGCTCGATTTCGTCAACACATTTCATGATGAAAGCTATGAGGAGAACGAGGACTAGAATAGTTGAGCGCAAAAGGTGTTGACGAGTTATAACTCCGGTTTAAACATGCCGAGAGATGTAGCTTTTAACAGAGAGCTTTCATGCTACTTACCCAATTTCGGGATGAAGTGGTCGAGGAAGGTGGTGGTTATTCGGTATTTGCTGGAAATCGCGGGGTTCTTGAGTGCGTCGCGCGCGCTCTTCACCTCTGCGATCACCTCCTCCTTGCTGGGCCGCTTCGCCGCCGCCGGCGCGACGAGCACCGCGATCAGCGCGCAAATTCCGAGAATCGCCAGCTGGTTCCACCACGATGCCATGCCTCGCGCGGCTTGGAAAAGAGGGAGCGAGATAATTTCTCGACGGAACGAGTGAAGAGGGAGAGGACCTCGAAGTTTTTGAGAGGACTACTCGGCGGAAGAGAGAAGCAGAAGGATCGGGTGTTTCTGGGCAATGTGTGTTCACGTGCTTGTGTGATGTAACGAGCAGAACAGGGCTCTGCTTTATGCTCTGGCGAGGAGCATTCGTTGGAGCAGAAGTGGCTGGGTTCTCAGCGCGTGAGGTGGGCTGTGGAGGAAACAAGGGTTCCGGGACTCACGCTCGAAAATGAACATGGGTGACAAGCGGTGTAGAGAATAAACACGCGGTCTCATGCGTTTTATCGTGGTATGGCTGCTTGTTTTGTGTTTAACTTCGGCAGAAAGAAAAGCACTGCGTTTCGAGTCATGCAATGCCCCGACCAATCGGATTGTCGATTGATTTTTGTGTGCGTCTCGAAACGCGTTGGGTGTGTGTGTGAGCCGTGTGATGCGGCTGGGGATGTGGAACTTTGCTGCGGAGAAGGGCTCCCTGAACGAGGGAACCCATGGATGGACCATGGTACCCCTCAGGATTTACTCTGGGAGCGCGGGACTTCAGAATGGATTTTTAACCAGTCATCATCTGGGGGACATCGTACCCGTCAGGGCCCGTTTTCGGGTCAAAATCCGCCAGAACGCAGGCTAAAAGCCAGGTTCGAGCAAACAGAGACCCCAGAACCAGCGGAGTCGGTGTGACCCGAATCCGTCAAAAAGGGAGTTCCGGTCAAAAGACACCCGTTAAGAATCAGCATTTGGGTAGTTGCTCGTCGAGCATAGCCCCTGGGCGCGAGGCGTGCATTGACCAAAACAAGGTTCCCAGCCTCAATCGAAAATGAGAAAGGTTTGGCAGGTGGTGGAAATGTTTACGTCTAAATTGTCCAGAGTCCCGCGCCCGCCACTTGAAAACATTTTCGAAACTAGAATTTCCAAACTCAATGCCGAAAACTACCATAAAATCTTATACATTCAGGGCAACTAGTCTTCAAACGTGGGTTCCGCTTGGCGCTTCTTGTGTTCGTAGACTGGATGCGACTGCGTTTGTCAAACAATGCCCCGACTAATCGGATGGACGATTTGATTCCGGAGTCAGCCTGAGGGCCTGCTCCTACGCGATGCCATGTCGTGCTACTGCGTGTCAAAATGTTATTTACGGGAATTTGTTACCAGCAAAATCTTAAAAAATCACGAAGGGACCTGGCATCGTGTCGTTTAGGAACACTCCCTGATACGCTCTGCATCTCAAGCCTGAACTTGAGTGCTGCTGAGCCGTGTGATGCGGCTGAGGATGCAAAACTTCTTGAGACAGAGTAGAGCGCACGCGAAAGATCAAGGAACCCATGGTACCGCTCTGAAACGCTCTGAAAGTATCTGCTCTAGTTTCGTTAAGTTTACTTGAAGCTAATGTAAGTACACGACTCCTACTTGAACCATACACTTGTCGTCACAAAAAAGTTGGCCCCGCAAAAAACTGAAGTGTCTAGTCTCCGCTGGGCACAGGCAAAGTTGACTCTATTTTGTTTGTTGGCAAAATGCGACAACCAGTGCGAAACCCTAAAGATGACTGTACCCCCCTCATCAAAGTCATGTGAGGGGGGCTTCGGCGAAAAGGGGCGACATCCTGATGCTGCTAGTTTTGCGCGCCAACCAAGTTACCGCGTTGAGTTTCGTGCACACGTGCCTACAAAAAAGGCCGAGCCCCTTCTGATTGGTTGGCTTGTGGGAGGACGGAAACTTTGGTTCACATAGACGCTGTTACAACATATAATATACTAAATGTTACAAGTGCATCATCTTGAGAATATGACTTGGGAATATGACTTGGGAAATATGACTTGGGAATGTATCCCGTTTTTTCGAAGTGCGTCAACGCCGGGACATGACGGGTGCACGTCGGCAGTATGCGACAGGGCGACCGCTCAGCTCGCCCCACGTTCGTCGACCCGATGGAAATCCACAGGCTCGATGGGCAGTCACGTCCGAAAAACACCAACTCTACGTGTGATTTCTGCGGGGTGCAGGGCCATCGAATCTTCGACTGCAACAAAATGAAAGCCGCACGAGCAGAGTATCGGGCACGCAACAGTGGCAGGAATTCTTCGGCCAATCAGAAGACAAAAAACGGGAGTCGCCGGTGATTACGGATCTAGCTGGCGAAAAAGAAAAGATCCAAAAGCAGCCAGGGGATCCCGGGAAAATCAACTTCAACGAAGCTGATTCGACGCGAGGAGGAAATGATGGGGGAAAATCTCCACCCCAAGACCATTCTTCGCTAAAGAAAATCGCCGAGAAAAATTCCGACTCCGCGAAAAAGGACTCTGCCGAGATGGGGAAACTCTGAGAAGACCCAAGAAATGATAAGGATTCGTTAAAGTTATCTTATAAACATGCTTTAATGAAAACTTATGATTCCCGAGGGGCTAGAGCCTTGGAGAAAATTCGGGAGGGACTCAAGAAGAAGCAGAAACTTGTAGAGACCATACTGGTACCGGAAAACTTGGGGACAAAATTTAGGAGTGGAAAGAAGCCGACCTTTCCACGGAGTCAACGTCCTCTCCCGGCACCAGCCCACAACGACTACCCGTTCCTCAGGGAAGATGTCGGTGGAGCTGAAGCAGCTCAAGAGGAAGCTGGGGGTCTACAAGAAGCTGCAAAAGCCCCGAACTCCTCCTCCGGATGCATCCAGCTCAGCAACTTCGACATCAACGACGAGCACAATCGTCAAAGAGACTTCGAGCCCTTGAGAAGAGCCTTTCTCCAAGCAGCCTCGGCCAGCTGCCAGCTCAGGAGTAGACAGTCACGAAAAGGTGTGTACAAAATATTCGGATGCACCCTATGATCTTATAAACGAAACTCTCTTTGGGTACTCCGAGCAACGCCCGCCCCTCGTGCTCCAGGTCATCTGCAAAGGACGACGCCTCTAAGCACTCGTGGACAGCGGAGCATCACACACCGTTTGTGACAAGGCAGTTATCGACCGACTTCGGGAAGAGTACAAGCCTTCAGTATTCTCTGCAATGATGGTGGATGACAGCAAGTTAGCAGTATTACACCTGGATAGCAACAAACATGGAAGAAGATAGAGAGAAAGCCTCGGAACCTCCAGGAAAAATCAAGGAATAACAAAAGGAGTTCCAAGACATTCTTCCTGATGACCTTCCGAACGAGATACCGCCATACCAAACGCACCATCACGAGATCGTGGAAGAACCGGGTTCGAAGCCGACCTTCCGAGCACCATACCGGCTCAGCCCCACAAAGCTAGCTGACACGGAAAAACAAATCGAGTATCTCCTCGCCAAAGGACACATCCGGCCATCCATTCACCATACGGTGCCTCTGTGCTCTTCACACCGAAACCAGACAAAAGCCTGCGCATGTGTATCGATTACCGAGCTCTCAACAAGCAGACCACAAAGAACAAATATCCAATACCACAGATCGATGACCTGCTTGACCAGCTTCGGGGAGCTACGGTATTTTCCAAAGTGGATCTGCGGTCTGGATACGAATGGCGGACAACTCCATCCACAAAACTGCCTTCCGAACTCAGTACGGATCGTACGAGTATCTAGTAATGCCGTTCGGACTCACCAACGCACCCGCAACGTTCCAAGCCGAAATGAACCACATTCTACGACCACTCTTGGACGAATGTGTGGTGGTGTACCTGAACAACATACTCATCTACTCGCGCGACATGAAGCAGCATGTCGAACACCTGCGACGCGTCTTCGAAATTCTTCGACGAGAGCGATTCTACGTCAAATTGTCCAAGAGCGACTTCGCCCTCGAGAAAGTCTAATTCCTACGACACATGGTGAGCGCTCAAGGAGTCCACGTCGATCCCAAGAAGATCGAAGCCGTACGCGCATGGAAGACACCCGAGAACGTGAAGGAGTTGCAGCAGTTCCTAGGCTTCGCGAACTATTACAACATGTTCGTGCCACAGTACGCGAAAATCACAACACCACTCACGAATCTGCTGAAGAAGAATACGCCCTATAAGTGGGAGCCGAAGCACGATGAAGCCATGGAGCAGCTGAAACAAGGACTCACGTTTGCGCCTGTACTCATCTTGCCACACCCCGAACGCGACTACGTCATCGAAGCTGACGCCAGCGACCAGGCAGTGGGAGCAGCCTTGATGCAAGACCAGGGCAATTGACTGCAACGAATCGCCTACCTCAGCAAGAAACTACATGGGGCAGAACTAAACTATCCGATACACGACAAAGAGGCCCTTGCTATCATCATCGCCTTCAAAGCATGGAGATGTTCTCTCGAAGGACGAAAAACAACCGTCTACACCGACCACTGCAGCCTGAAATATTTGAAGACACAACCAAACCTCTCCAGGCGGCAGGTTCGGTGGATTGACTTCCTCGAGACTCACTTCCACTATGACATCGTGTACAAGCCCGGCCACAAAAACAAAGTAGACGCCCTTTGTCGGCCTGCACACGTTGCCGCCATCCTGATCGAAGGGATGAATCCATTACTCAAGGGACTCTTCACACATGGGTATACAATCGACCCCAAAATTCCCTTGGCAGAAAAGCGACATCTGCTACAGTGGGACAGTGACATCGCGTACCGGAAGGGATCAACGAATATCTGGGTGCCCGATTACCCTCCTTTGCGGCAGTTACTAAAAGAATACCATGATGTCCTATATGCAGGACACTTCAGTAGCAACAAGACGCTCGCTGGTATCGCAAAGCACTACTACTGGCCCCACTTGGCACACGATGTTCAGAAATTTGTCACCTCGTGTAATACATGTCAGCGGATGAAGGAGGGACTACTACAGCCTCTTCCTATCCCAGAACAACCATGGCAAGTGGTTAGCTTGGATTTCATCACCGTGTTACCAACTACCACAAGCGATCATGACGCAATCCTCGTCGTCATCGACAAATTCTAAAAAATTGGACACTTCATTTCGACACATACGACTGCACGCACCAAAGAGATAGCAGAACTATTCGTTCGCTACATCATCTCACAATATGGCATCCCAACCACACTCATCTCCGACCAAGACCCCAAGTTCACCAGCAAGTTCTGGAAGGAACTAATGTCTCTGCTCGAGACCAAACTCGCCATGTCATCCGCCTACCATCCGCAGGCAGATGGACAGACCGAGCTGTTGTGTGATGTCATCATATGCTATCACATTCTGTCTGCCTCCCATCCCTCGTTTCAATACGCACGTATGGTTTGACTGTGTGTGAAAGAATTTGTGTGGTGTGTGTTCTGGAGTTTGGGAATGTGTTTTGTGTTATTTTGTTTGAGCAGGTATTTGTGATAATAGATCTTGAGAAGATCTTTCCGACGCAACAAGAATCGCTTCAATCGGAGCAAGAACGCGAAAGCTATGAAGATTCAAAGTTCATGAGCTTGCGTTACAATTGCGGCGGTTACAAAGTGAAGTTGTGGGGTGACTCAATATGGAGTTGGGACTTTTGGGGTTGGGGAAATTCGTCACTCTACTGTAACAGCTGCAAATTGGTTGGGAACAACCAAGCTAGGTTGGCAAGGGTGGCCAACTTGGATGGATTGGTTGGGAAGGGACAAAGGTCAAATTTGGAGTTCCTATAGGGAGGGAATCTTTGTGCTTATGGGGTTTCCTTGGTTGGGGACTCTCTTGGGACCTTCCCTCTCATCCCTCTCTTCCCATCCCAACCTTTCTCTTGCTCCTCTAATTCCTTGTGAGATTCTTGAACCTTGATTGAACTCTTGAGATTGAGTTAAGTTCTCCTCCTACAGCTTACCCCTCAGTGCGTCGAAAGCCATAGCGTCGCGAATACTTTATCAATGAACGTGATTCAAATTGAGAATGGTAGCTGAGATTAAGAGCTACAACATATCCAAGTTTCGCGACATTCCAACCGCTATTTTTTCGTCGACGTCGTTCCTTGTAAAGACGACTTTTCTGTCCAGAATTTCGGATTAATATTTTGAGTAATTCTAGCTCCTAAGTTCACCTAGACTCCGTCCTTAATCCTAACAAGTGGTATCAGAGCCATATTGAGGACATTGAGAGGAGTCTACAGAAGTGTGAAGACCCTTCTAGACCCACCATGGCCTGTGGGCGTGCCTAAGTGGTGTTCTAAAGGTTGGATGTGACTTCCGCTAAGGGGAAACTCTGCCGAAATTTCGTGGACGTCGACACTTGTGAAAATATCGAGGGAGCTGAGTCTGGACAGCAAAGGGGGAGCTGAAATTCGTCATTTCTCAAGGAGAAGATGAATGAGAGAGGAGGAGATGCTAATGGAAGAGGAGCTGTACCTGAGAAGACAAGTGAGCCGCCACCATCAAAAGTTGAAGCTTTGGATGGCTCCAACTATGAGGAATGGAGCGGGCGCATGAGGAGTGCCTTCAAACGCTACAAGCTACTGAAGATTGCTGTTGGGGAGAAGAAGATGCCGGAAGAAGGCGAAGAACGCGAACGGTGGATTGAGAAAAGCACGGTGCTTTTTGACCTCATCCTTCAATCGGTCAACAAGGAGATGTTCGAGCACATCAAGGATCTTGTGGAAGCGGATGATTCGGGTCCAAGGGCGTGGAAACTACTACGCGATGTGATTCAGCCCAACACTCTTCCGATGGTGATCGTGCTCGAGAAGGAACTTGCTGCAATCTCCATGCGACCAGGGGATGATGTGAAGCCGGTCCTTGACAAGATCAAGGACACCTATGCAAGGATGGCAGCAGCGGGCAGCAGCGTTTCTCAGCTGCAGCAGTGCACCAAGATCATCTCGGTGTTGGACAACTCGTGGGACAACCTCATCCCCACCCTCAACTCTCAGCAAGATCAATGGACACCTGAGTGGCTAAGGCAGCAGATTCTGCAGGAGGACTTCCGCAGACGCCATGTGGGAGGCGGTGCTGCCACTAAGACTGCTGAGGGGTATGGAGCTGCAGGGCGCAGCAGAGGAAGAGGGGGTTGGAGAGGCCGAGGCCGTGGGAGGAGCTTTGGCAGAGGTAGAGGCCGAGGTGACTATAATGAGGGGCATGGGAGCTCTGGTGGCAGGGGGAGTACCAGAATGGAGGGCACCTGCTGGTACTGCAAGAAGGTCGGGCATCCTTGGTTCAAGTGCTTCAGCAGGCCGGAGGGATGGGCACCTCCAGGCATGAAGCCGCCCAGTGGTGAACGCGCACAAGGTGGCGCTGTGCAAGGCTCAGGTGCACAAGGTGAAGGTGCACAAGGTAATGCCTATCCTGGGATGTTTCTCATGGTTGAGGATGTGCATGGGCATGAGGGTGATGTGGGATCTGTGGGAAAGGTTGTGATGCACCCTCTCACGCACTAGGTGATTGATTCAGGTTGCACTAGTCACATGACCCCACGGGCAGATTTGCTTGATGAGGTAAAACCCCCTGGGAAGATTAAGTATGTGGCAGCAGCATCAGGTGCTTTGCTCCCTGTGATTGGTGTTGGGAATGCCAAGGTTAAGGGAGCTAATGGGGAGCTTGTGGGGCTTGGGAATGTTGTGCTAGTTGAAGGCTTGTCTGCTAACCTTCTCTCTGTGCGACGATTGTAGAAGAGCAAGGCCGAAGTGACCTTTGGACCAACCAGCTGCCGTGCTAAGCTTGGGAAGAAGGTGCTGTGGAGTCTGGAAGAGGAGACCAGCTGCATCAAGGACCTGTGGCAGCTGCCCATCATCCCTTGGAATGGGAAGACTCCAACAGCAGCAACGGCAGCAGCGGCAAAGGCAACTGCAGGAGGAGATGCAACTGCACCAACTGATGGGGTCCTGGAAGCAGTCAAGAAAGTGCAGCAGCAGCAGACACATGGTGAGGTGCTTGCTGGTGTGGATGCGAGTGCGGCATGGGCTAAGGCTTCATCAAGGAGTGGTGAGGCCGATTGGGAGGCATGGCATGAGAGGCTGTGTCATGTGAACTTCCCTATGCTGCAGAAGTTGGTGAAGGATGGGAGCCTGAAGGGCTTGGAGGTGAAAGGGGGAGTGAAGGAGATTGGGAGCTGCCCTACATGCTTGGAGACCAAGTTCTCCAAGTTCCCCTTCAACAGCACTACAGGACTAGCCAAGACCCCACTTGCACTTGTGCATATGGATGTGGTGGGGCCCACAAGAGCCCCTTCCCTCTCAGGCAGCCGCTATTTCTTGACAATTGTGGATGACCACACTCGGGCACTGTGGGTTAACCCTTTGAAGAGCAAGGGGGAGGTGGCAGCGGTTGTCCTTAAGGAGTGGATGCCTAGAGCTCAGAGGGAATGCGGATACAAGGTGAAGGTGATCCGCAGTGACGATGGTGGGGAGTTCATTGGAGCTGATTTTGAGGGGGAGTTGAAGAGGAAGGGGATCCAGCATCAACTGACAGTGCCCTACAACCCGCAGCAGAATGGCGTGGCTGAGAGATTCAACAGGACCCTGCAGGAGGGGGCACGCACTCTCCTTGGGCGTGCAGGGCTGCCTGATCCGTTTTGGGTGTCTGCACTGAGGCAGGTCGCCCTTGTGAAGAACAGGGTGCTGGCTACAGTTGGGGATAAGGAGTGGATCCCATATACCAAGTGGTATGGGAGTGCTCCAGCTGTGAACATGCTGAGGGCATTTGGGTGCATGGTGGTGTTTCATGTGCCTAAGGAGAAAAGGGGGAAGTTGGAGGCTTCTGGAAGATGGGGTGTGCACTTGGGGATTGCAAAGGATCACAAGGGGTGGCTGCTATGGGACTTGACCACCCAGAAGCTGACAGTGTCAAGGGATGTGAAGTTTCTTGAGTCCCTGTACTACAAGGAATGGAAGCAGCAGCAACAGAAGCTTCCATCTACACCGCTCATTGTGGAGGTAGATGAGGTGCAGCGGCCTTCAAGACAGGTGGAGGTTGCAGTGTCTGAGGAGGAGATGTCTGGGGTGACTGAGGAAGGGGGAGCAGCAGAGGTGGAGCAGCAGCAGCAGCAGCAGCATGAGTCTCCATCTCGAGTTCCACACCCGCCTGAGCGACCTAGGAGGGATGTGCGCCCTCCGGTGAGGCTGACCTATGGGGGAAGAGGCAAGCCGAATGTGGTGCAGGCTGGGAGTGTGGTTGAGCAGATTGAGGAAGATGAGATCGCTCACTGCTACTGGGCACCAATCCCTGAGCCCAAGACTCGAGAAGAGGCCTTGAATGGACCAAATGGGGAGAAGTGGAAGGCGAGTGAGGATGAGGAGTTCGGGTCCCTGATTGAGAACGAGACATGGGACCTTTGTGACTTGCCTCCTGGGAAGAAGGCAATCACTTCCAAGATGATCTACATGCACAAGTATGGACCTGAAGGGGAGCTGACCCGCTACAAGTCTAGGCTTGTGGCAAAGGGGTTTCAGCAGACAAAGGGGAAGGACTATGATGAGGTGTTTGCTCCTGTGGGGAAAGGAACAACATTGAGGGTGCTATTGGCGATGGCTGCACTCCTGGGATGGAAGATACGGCAGATGGACATTGTGACTGCCTTTCTGAATGGGATCATTCTTGAGGAGGTGTACATGAAGCAGCCAGAGGGGCTGGATGATGGGAGCGGCAGGGTCTGCAGGCTGAAGAAGGCAATCTATGGCCTTAAGCAGGCGCCTCGTGCATGGTATCACAAGTTGGAGGAGGCGCTGGTGGCTGGGGGTTTCAAGAAGAGTGAGTGTGACCCCAGCCTGTTCCTGCTGCAGGAGAAGGATGAAATCCTCATGCTCCTGGTGTATGTGGATGATATCCTTCTCTTCTCTGCATCAACTGCTTTGTTGGACAGCGCAGAGCAGATGCTGGAGATGCAGTTCAAGTGCTCCAAGATGGGTCAGGTGAAGTACTACTTGGGGATGCATGTGGAGAGAGATGTGGAGAAGGGTGTGCTGAGGTTGCACCAGAGGAAGTACTATGAGGGGCTGGCTGAGAAGTATGGGTTGCAAGATGGGGGAAAGCCAGCAACACCACTACCTTCGGGGTTTACTGTGGAGCCATGTGCTGATGAGGAGGTAGTGGGTGAGAGTGACAGGAAGCTGTTTCATTCGATGGTTGGGTCGCTGAACTATGCTGCAAGTCATACACGGCCTGACATTGCATTTGCTACATCACGGTTGGCTAGTGTGGTCTCACGCCCTAGTCATGAGCAGCTGGAAGCGGCCAAGAGGTTGGTCCGCTATGTGAGCGCTACCGCATCAGTGGGATTGGAGTATAGTGGAGTGAGGCAGCGGTTGCAGAGAGGTGCTGCAGATGTGAAGAGTGGAGAGATGCTCTTGAGTTGCTATACTGACGCTAGCTTCAACTCAGTGAAAGCGGATGGCACCAGCATTGGGGGTTATGTGTGCTTGCTAGGAGGTGGTGCTGTGAGCTGGCGCAGCAAGAAGCAAAATGAGGTGGGATTGTCCTCATGTGAGACTGAGTACATGGCCTTACACCATGGGGCCAAGGAAGTGGTGTGGCTGAGGCGCTTGCTGGAGGAGTTGGGAGTTGGTCAGAAGGAGCCGACGGTGATCTTCTGTGACAATGAGTCTGCAGTGAAGCTCGCCAAGAATGCTTGTCTGCATGGGCTGACAAAACACATAAGGCCTAAGTGGCACTGGGTGAGGAGACTCCTTGATAAGGAGGTGCGGCTGGAGATCGTGAAAACCCATCAGCAGGCAGCAGATATTTTCACCAAGCGTCTGGCGGAGGCGGATCATTGGAAGGGCATGAAGCTTGCTGGGATGAGTGTGCATTGAGTATGCATGCTTGAGATGTTGGTATGGTGGATGATGGTTGGCAGCCAGAGGGGGAGATTGTTGTGTGATGTCATCATATGCTATCACATTCTGTCTGCCTCCCATCCCTCGTTTCAATACGCACGTATGGTTTGACTGTGTGTGAAAGAATTTGTGTGGTGTGTGTTCTGGAGTTTGGGAATGTGTTTTGTGTTATTTTGTTTGAGCAGGTATTTGTGATGATAGATCTTGAGAAGATCTTTCCGACGCAACAAGAATCGCTTCAATCGGAGCAAGAACGCGAAAGCTATGAAGATTCAAAGTTCATGAGCTTGCGTTACAATTGCGGCGGTTACAAAGTGAAGTTGTGGGGTGACTCAATATGGAGTTGGGACCTTTGGGGTTGGGGAAATTCGTCACTCTACTGTAACAGCTGCAAATTGGTTGGGAACAACCAAGCTAGGTTGGCAAGGGTGGCCAACTTGGATGGATTGGTTGGGAAGGGACAAAGGTCAAATTTGGAGTTCCTATAGGGAGGGAATCTTTGTGCTTATGGGGTTTCCTTGGTTGGGGACTCTCTTGGGACCTTCCCTCTCATCCCTCTCTTCCCATCCCAACCTTTCTCTTGCTCCTCTAATTCCTTGTGAGATTCTTGAACCTTGATTGAACTCTTGAGATTGAGTTAAGTTCTCCTCCTACAGCTTACCCCTCAGTGCGTCGAAAGCCATAGCGTCGCGAATACTTTATCAATGAACGTGATTCAAATTGAGAATGGTAGCTGAGATTAAGAGCTACAACATATCCAAGTTTCGCGACATTCCAACCGCTATTTTTCCGTCGACGTCGTTTCTTGTAAAGACGACTTTTCTGTCCAGAATTTCGGATTAATATTTTGAGTAATTCTAGCTCCTAAGTTCACCTAGACTCCGTCCTTAATCCTAACACGAGCGCGTCAACCAAATTGTCGAGCAACTCCTCCGTGCAGCCTGCAAGGACGAGATCTCTAAATGGGACTTGCACCTGCCCGTTCTGGAGTTTGCTTACAACAACGCTACACATGCCGCTATTGGACGGACGCCGTTCTTCCTCTGCTACGGACACCACCCGCTCACGCCACAAAAACCGACAGCATCAGCTAGAGCCCAACCTGCACACGATTTCATCACGACCATGCATCAGCTTTGGGATCGGACCCACAAGCGCCTCCTCGATATTCAACAGCAACAGAAGCACCAGGCCGATTGCCATCACAATGACCACACCATCACTGTGGGAGACTAGGTGCTCCTCGACACCCGCAACCTTGACATTAGCCATCTCCCATCTAAACTTCGACCTCACTTCTGCGGGCCTTTCCTTGTTGAAGCACATGTTACTCCTGTTACCTTCCGCTTACGCCTGCCAGCTACCTGGAGGATTCACAACGCCTTCCATCTCCAACTTCTGAAGCCCTATCGGGATCCTAACACGGTCTTCATCGGACGCCAGCCACCGCCGCCGCCGCCCGTCCTCGTCCATGAGGAACCCGAGTACGAGGTCGAGTCTGTGCTTGCACACCGCCGTCATCGGAATGGAACCGTGGAGCTTCTCATTCGTTGGAAAAGTTATGATCCCTCTGAGGACAGCTGGGTTCCTGAAACCGACCTGAAACCCGTCGTCCTCTTCATGACTTCCTTGTCAAGCAGGGTGTTACTTCTACCACCTAGCTTTTAGGGGGGGAAGTGTGAGAGTACGACCCTGTTACACCACTTGCCCTTTCCATCTCTCCTTTCTATTTCATTTCCCTTTTTATCTCATCTCATCTGGTTTCCTATTCCTCCTTTTCCATTATCCTTTGGTTTATCCTGTTATTGTGAATATATCACTGACCAGGCTTGGGATGTACTGGCGCGCTATATCTAGCATAATCCTGCCGTAATCCCTTAAAGCCAATAGCCTTGTGTGGCTATACGCAGGGTGATTCTATTTCTAGAAGGGTCTATTCCCTTTGGATAGGATAAACCTGGTTACCTGATGTACTCCGGAAGTATAAAAGCGCCTTGTATCAATCAATAGTGCAACTTTTCCTCGACACATTCGATCCTGTGACAGTGGCGAACGGTGGTTGTCTGTGCAAGCAGCATGTCCAAGGAACGTGGTGGTGACTCCTCGGTCCTTGAGGTGACCGACACCTACTAGGTTCCTGGAAAATGAGAAGACGTGCATATCCCGGTGAGGGAGCCAGAGGGAAGAGCTGGACAAGGGAGAGTGGTGGTGCTGTAGGCTACAGCTCTAATGGAGGAGTCTACTAGTGCGACGCAGGAAGCGGGGTGAGAGCAATACTGTCTCAAAAGAAGCAAGAGACGTGCTAGAGTCTAGGATATAATAGAGGGCCGACGTGGATGTGCCCTGTGAAGTATCACTAGTGGAGCCTATGCTTGACGCAGCAGTGGAATCTAGATTATACGCAGCAGTGGCTCCTAGACTACAAACAACAAGTTGCTAGAGTGGTGTAATTAGAAACAGCAGCACTAGAGTCATCAGCATACAAAGAATACGATGCCTGATCTATCTGAATCATTTGTATCAAAGATAGGAGGCCCACGATGAAACAGGGCTGGCTAGTAAGGCACCTGCACCAGCGGGCCGAACTGACGGCGGTAAAGGTCGTCGAAGCGTCGGTAGCAGCGGGCGGCGGTATGGCCCGCGCGCGCACAGACATGGACTACTTGAGGGCCCATCAGCAGCTGGTACGTGCAAGACGTCACGCCTCCAGAGCTGCCTGCACCATGGCTCACAAAAGAACCACATGACCCTCAGGTCACCGACTATCCTGGGGCCCAACTTCCACGGCCTCCACCACGACCACCACCCCCAGTGCCCGCCAACCCCCACGGCAGCTTCTGCCGCTGGTGCTGCTGCTCAGTACCTGACTCTAGCTGACCACCCTCTCCATCTGCGTTTGCATCCCCTCTGTCACAGATCCAGGATTTAGCATAAATGTGTAGGGATTTCCATAAAAAGAAGAACGCACAAAATAACACACAATAAATAGCAAATATGCAAATGGATGTGATCAAGGATACGACAAGCCTCATCCTCTCACTATCCCCCCCTCAAAACTGGGTAGACACTGAAAGCGTCCATTTTTCAGCAAATACTTGGGGTTGTGAGGCTCAAACTAGGCAGAGAAAATCAAGTATTCAAAGATGTGCTTAAATAGCAGCTCCTCTGTACTTTATTCCACACACTCATGGGCCTGTACGAGTATAGGTAGTAGGGATCCCACGATGAAGTATTGGGACATGTGACGCTCCAACTCTGGTTGCAGAGTAGCGTAGCGACAGGTGATAAGTCCGTGCTTGAGCTGCGGTCAGTAGAATTCAGCTGCACTGTAGCATGTTGTAGCAATGATAACTGCTTCATGTGGTCAAGAAACCACCAAGTGTTCGAGGTTGACGTAGCAGCCGTGTACTGATCCGTATACCGTAATAACACTGTAACAGTTGCGTGCCATTGCAAAGAGACTTGTTGCCAAGTGATTGTAGTAGGACGATGTCATCAAGCTCATCGGTAGAGTATCAATCCAAGGTCCTAGTCAAGGAGATATGGGGATTTCTGCGCTCAACCCATTTGACTCCTCTTCCATTTCCAGTAGGTTGGTGGTGACAATGATGTTGACTCCACAATACCTCATACCTGTCCAGTTTAGCATGGATTCCATCAATTGGCCTCGATGTCTGGATGCACGTACAGATGTAGGTCCACTGGGCCGTCAAGTGTCCTCTACAGTAACAGCTTCGATGACGTTGATGCCGTTTCAGCTACTCAACATTGATGTTGAATCTGCTCCAGTTTTGCTAGTAGGGGTGCCATTGGAGTAACGCGGATTCCTCTATTCATAATGGCCTCGGCACTCCGGATCACGCCTATCAGCTTCCATGGAGGTGATGCTGGTGATGGATTTGTTGGTGACGCAGGTTTTATGACTCAGTTGAAAGTCATCGGGCCATGAGGACTCGAATAGTCCTCCCATCCTCATAAGAGTCTCTTTCTCTAAGCTCTTCATGGCATGTGGTGTAACCACATTGGTCCAGGGCGTAGTGGTATCTCCATCCCGTTATGTGGAAATCGTAGATGTAGCGCTAGGCCGGGTCTTGGAATCATGATGGAAGAAGATCCAGTGTCATCTCCATTGTTTGGAGGAATATCCATCAAGGTTGGGTGTTGCTGTCATTATGTGCTGTGACGGCGATGGCGGTAGACACTCGCAGCGGTGGCGGTGGCTGCTGCAGAGGATGCTCGTATCTCGTAACAGTTTCAAGAAGAATCCTTCCACTCCCTCTTCCGTGTAGAGTCTTCCTGATGGGTGTAACAGTTGTATAGTGATGGAACAATCTGTCCACATGTTGGCCATTAACTAGACAAAATCAGAGCCCATGAGAAAATGCAGGTTTTTTATTTCCTGGTTTTAAGGTTCTAGTTGCCACTGTTGTAGGCTTGTGTGACAAATGAAATCTTGTCCAAAAAACACACCAGAACAGAACATAGCACAACGAAGATCACAAGTGGTACACTCGGACAGAATGTTCCCGGGATGAGCGACATTTGAAATTATCGATATCGATACCGTGTCCATCTCCCCTTAGCCCTTCTTCCTGCTCTGATCCTCCTAGGAATAGTGTCTATCAGAGCCTTGCACACGCCAGCCCCAATGCTGTCCCATGCCTCGTGCACCTGCTTCCAAGTTTGCAGCATGCCTGTGGGGGGTTGCTCATGCTTGGCGAGCTACTCGATGGGATTGGGGTCAGGGGAGGAATAGGGTCATCATAGGACCGCAAAATCTTGCTTTGCTAACCACTCCTGAACGATCCTGCACTTGGGTTTGCGGTCGTACAGTGTACTGGAACGTCATGCCAGAGACGGTCAAATCATACAAATCAAGAGTTTGAGCCACCTCGTCCTACAATATGTTGTGATACAGTTGGCCATCTGTGGGGCCATCAATCTTGCACATGTAACCAGTCACATCAGACATTATACAAACTCAAACCATGAGTGGCCCGCCCCCATGCTTCATAGTCTACTTCACCTGATGCCCCTGGAGAGCAGCGCCTTCGTGAATCCATGCGTGGGTGTGGCTATCCGAGCAATATCGAGTGATCTGAGTCTCGTTCAACCTGATCACCTGCTTCCAGTCGTCCAGAGTCCAGTCCAGGTGGGCTCTGGCGAAATTCCGTATAGTCGTGGATGCTGCGCGCTAATAGTTGAGGCTTGCGCAATAGCTGTACAGCGACTAACCCTGTCACCTTGAGGGCATTTCGTACAATGTGAGGGTGGACCTTAACAACGTGATTCGATTCCAGTGGTTATGCAGCCTCAATGCTTGTCAACGCAGCACCTAACATGATGGTGTGCACGAAAATGCGCATGTGTCACGCTGAGAGCAGTTGCGGTCGACCTAAAGAGTGGACATTTGGCCTAGCTACTAGACGACTACTGCTGTGACTAGCCTTCATAGTGTTTTTTTTGCGATTCTCTGCCATATTCCTAGCGTTCGTGCGATCTGTCGAAAACTCAGACCCTGGCAACAGATGTTCATGATCTGGTATCTCTGACGCGAAGCAAGCGGTAGCGTGGTTACTGGAGGATCACGGGGTAAGGGGCATGCGCTAGCGAAAGTCTAAGCGGCTTTGCTAGCTCGTGCAAAGAATGCTCGACGGAAACAAATCTAGTCTCTACTCGGGTAGTATTTGTCCACATCGACCATCGAGCGTTAAAGCTTGTACTCGCTATTAGCAATTCAATATTGGCTAGAGTTTGTCATATATGGAGGTGCATCAATTGTTTATGCGTAATGTCCACATGCTCCAGATTGTGAATAATTCATTTATACTTGTCAAAACATCATGAACTTGCTAAATAGTGCCATTTTGTGGACAGATTGTTCCGTCACTATAACTACCAGGGAACACGTGTGTCTTGATGCACAGGTGTCACTCCTATTGCTGCCGGTGATTGGGTCGCTCGAGGGTACGAAGATTACTTGCTTCTCCCCTTTGTTGTATCCACGGATAGCAATTGTCTTGTATGCTCATCCATGCTCCCAATGTACGGTCGGTAGAGCGCGTAATTGTCTTGTTGCAATCTGCATCTCCCTCATTTATGAGCATCATCGTGTTGCTGGGCGTTCGCCTGCGTTGTCAAAGTTACGCCGAGCCTTGTAACGCTTCAGGTTTTGGTTGAATTGCCTCCAATACATGCACTGTAAGGTCGCAGGTCGCAGGTCATGACTCCTCGGTCTGTCAACCCTCGTGCCTTTGTGTGGTGGCATAAACACCTGGAATCGTGGTCACATTATTGGGATGTCGTCTTTTGAGGTTGATATCAAACTGCTCTAACCAATCATTACGGACGGCTGACATTCGTAATGAACATGAATCGATCAACTCCTATTACAAAGTAGTGTCTGTGTGCCTAACGAGACGTAGTAACTGCGTCAGTTGTTGCATACGAAATCTGCTCCTTCGCATTCACTTGTTTAGCGAGGATTTGCAAGAGAAAATTGCTACTTTTATGCAATCCGTAGTATGCCTATTTGTTGTATGATTTTGTATAATCGTTGTAGAACAATAGAATTATGCAAGCCGGTTTTGTCGTCGGGGATGTTTGACTGCATTGTTGGTGTACTACAAAAATCTGCTTCTTTGGTGGAGCACAAAATTATGCTTCGTTAGTGTCGATCTGGCTTCAAACAAAGATTATGACTTTGTAGAAGAACTAGTGTAGATTCTGCGACTAAGCGGGTAGTACGTAATCGTTGTGTCGCCAGGCTCGAATGTAGACTCCCAAACGTTTTTCTCCCATCGAGAAGTCTCACGGTCCATTTTTGCAGTCGATTCGTTGACGATCTGACAATCTACGTGCTGCGACATCATTTTTTCCAATCGATGTTACCAAGTAGATGTCTGTTGCCGAGATTCCTAACATGATGAGGAGATCCAAATTTTGAGAGCTGGAAATTTTGGAAGTCCAGTCGCCGAAGTTGATATCGTCATATATCTGCTTCTCTTAGTCAAATTCTTGT